TATATCCTAGGGGAACTACCCAATGTATAATATGACCTCAACCAGAATAGACGGTGATCACTTAGACTCACACTAGGTGGTTAAGTGTCTCCTTTCCCTACCCGGGAAATCAGCTATTATACATGGTGCACGGTACTGACAACACAGACTGTAAAGACTACACAGTAGTAACGCATCTCAATGTACTAATGAGTTACTGAGCATAACAATTAGGCAATACATGCCAATAATAATACTAAATATACTGAGTATGTCAATTAGGCAACACATGCCAATAATATGAATAAATATACTGAGTATATCAATTAGGCAACACATGCCAATAATATTAAACCACATACCCCGACAGCCACACATTTGTCTATAGCAACGAATGCATAAGGTATAAATGAGTCTAAACTTATTAGCCAGCTCACATGGTTCTATGTGGCAACACATCCATATAATATAAATGTGACATGATTAAACAGTCCATTTATTTCCTGAGATGCACACAGCATAATAATCATGGTTTATATATCATTTAACAGTATAAACATCCCATAAGATATCATGGATAATTTATATGACTAAAACCATGGCATTATTTAATTTAACAATAATGTTTGATACTATTGAATAAAATAATAACACTATTTATATTTAACAATGTCGTTAAATAAATCACATTCATATCCGTACGATAAACGAGCCAATAAATGCTTAGAAAAGATTAATCGGCCATAAGAATAATTAACGGGTAATAAAATAATAATTTCGTGGCCCGTTAAACCCGTAACTACCAACACAGGCCCTAAAACTCCAAGTTTAAGGTTCTGGAATTTACAAAACAGGCCCTAGGGGTATTCTGGTAAGTTCACGCAGCTGACAGGGCCCCTCACGCGCCGCCCTAAGCTCCCCCACGCGCAGCACAACCTTCCCCACTCTCCCACGCGCCTCCACGCTCGTCTGGCATCAACCACGTGCGCGCACGTATGGCTTCCTGCAGACGTGTCACTTCCTGGTTGGTTGGCTGCATCCGGACTCTGTACTCGCGTCACACCGGATCAATCTTAATGAGCCTAATTAATCCTACGGCCAATGATTCGCGCGCACCATCATATGGTGTTCCGCGCTACGCCGTATTAATCTAAGGATCCACAACCCATCTAACGGCTGCTGATCCATACGCATACTTGTTACAATACGCCGCAACACGCCAGATAGCTCCGGTCACCTTCCTCGCTGCCGGTGGCCGGAAACCTCGCCAGAGGCTTGCCGGAAATTGCAGAAAATGCCCGAAAAATTCCTAAAAATTCTAAAAAAATCTCTAACGCCTTAAGGAATTATTTTTAGCTATTTTGAACTTCATAGGATAATAACTAATTATCTACCATCCTAAATAATTAAAAAATCATTAATTTAATAAACTAAAAAAAATAATCATTTATTAAAATCTAAGCATGCTTTCAATGCTCCATCATAATCTAAATAATTTAAACAATTAATTTATGAATTCAAAGGGGAAAAATAGATAATAACTTGCCTTTTGGATTTAAAATAAATCCGCCCGTTGCGCGTAGTCGGATAAATTTCTCCTACACCGGTCCAAGCTCCTTTCTTTCTCTCTCTTCCTTTCCACACTTTTACAATGGCTCACTGAAAGCTATAACTTTTTCTAACTCCCTTCCATTCCTTCTAAGGTAGGCTAACTAATTTATATACAATTTATATAATATAAATAGTACAAATATCTAATTTTACATTTAACTAACCACATTCCCAACCATATAGCTTCAAGTCTACCCATAAACATTAATGAAATCCTATCATAATATCTAATTTCATCATAACATTATGATTTAATACTATTATTATTATTATAACTATTATTATTATTATTATTAAAGTATTATAATTATTATAATATGATTAATAAACTATTATAATTATTATTATTATTATTATTACATAAGAATACATTATATCATAATAATACTTTATAACACAAATATAATACTTTAATTAACTAATATTGCTTAATTAAACATAATCAACAAATAAAATTATTAATAATAATACATGCACAATTAAATGAACTCAATATAATAATGGTAAAGAAATCTACACATTAATTAATTCAAATAAACTAAACTCTTTAATAAAATACGGGGTATTACAACTGCTATTTCAGAGAGAGAGATATAATCGGGGGTTCAAAGGCCATATATATATATATATATATATATATATATATTGTATATATACATATATTTAAAAAAGATCATAAAAAATTTCACCAAATAGGATTTAATTTGCAAAACAAGAATTACAAATTGATTTTAGTTGATTTAAGAAAAAAAAATTAAAACAAAACCCATACGTACAAGTTAGCAGTTGTAGAGAGAGAGAGGGGGCAAGCTTGAGAGACAGAGGCTGAAGCTTGTGAACGGCGATCCCGAACTGGAACAGCGGGCAATGGAAACTGAAAGATATGGGTTTTGAACTTCTGATTCTTGTTGTAGTTTGCAGTTGCAGAGAGAGAGAGAGAGAGGGGGGGGGGGGGGGGGGGGCAATTTCAGAGTTGAATGAGAATAGAGATGGAGGCGATTAGGGAGGCTGAAATGATTTGCCCTAAAAATTTATATGACGAGGAGGCTGAAATGATTTGCCCTAAATATATATATATATATATATATATATATTAATAATAATATAATTAAATATATATAATATACGTATATACATATAATATATATAAATTTTTAAAAAAGAAAAAATATATATATAATAATATAATCAAATATATAAATTTATACATATATATATATATTTTGAACCTTTTTTAACCAGATATTTTAAATATTTTATTATCTTTAATTAAGTTTAATTTTAGTTTTCTTTTAATGTTTACAATTTGACTTGGAATGTGCCTAATATTAATATTTACTGATCCAAATATGAATGGTGGGAATGGTAGTTGAAAAAAAATAGTGATTGTGTCAAAAAATAGCATTTTGTATAAAATGTATCATTGGAACAGAATTGCTAAAATGTAGCATTTTGACACTATAGCACTGTCAAAACATAGATTTGGCATCCGAATTTAGCATTTTAACATCGGAGATGCTCTTAGGATGTTAAAGGGAGGTGGCACTCATTTTCTAAGCTCCTCCAATCAATGAATTTTTTATTTTATCTTTAAAATTCAATTCGAGATGCCCACATTAGACTTTGGGCGAGTCGAGAGCACTTGGATATATATATATATATACTAATTTCATTAACATCGTCTCAAATTTGGCCAAATATCACCCTCAAATATATTTCGAAATTAATTATCACCCAGACCCCAATTTACTTTTCCGTTATTTTTTCCATTAAAATGGTGCAAAATGACAAATTTATTCTTATTTTTTAAATTTATTTTAATCAAAAATATCAAAATTTTGAAATAACCAAATTGTCCTCATTTATTACTCTGTTACCTACAAAACTATTCATCTTACTCTTTTCTCCAAATATATATTTTTTGGTGTACATTATGAGAAATATATATACATATATATATATATATATATATATATAAAGAATAATTTTTAAAAATAATTATAAATTTATAATTATAATTTGGTTTGAAAAAATAATTATAAATTTATAATTATAATTTGGTTGTTGTAAATAATTTGGTGTAATATATATATACACATAAGGAATAATTTTAAATTTATATAATGAAGGTTAAAGGGTATTGAAGTCATTTTAATAATTTTTTAAGTCAACAACTAGTTAGAAGGATAATCATGTTATTTTACATACAAAAATATATCTAATGCATTTAAAAAATAATTATTTAAGTGTAAATGAAAAACGAATCAAAGATTTATAACGCCCGGTGATAGTTATTTTCCCCACCTGTAAGTGAAATTAATTCAAATAATATTAGTGACTATTCCCGCCCCTGGTAGTATTTTTCTTTTTTTAACAAGCTCCTGTTAGTAATTGGATAAGGTGGTTTTCAAGAGCACGCACGCCATGACATGAGTCCTGACTGTCCTTCACATTAATCACTGCATTTAAATACGTATATACGTAGTACTATATTAAATAAACTTGACTTTTAACAAATCTACCAAAAATAGAAAAAAAATCTATCCCAAAGTACCGGTTAAATTATGAAGCATGTCTACTCAGCCCCCAGTATCTGTATTGATTGGATCGATGTAAATGGTGTTGCAGTTGCGCCAACTCATTCATGAATTTTGTCTTTGATTTCAGGCACATAATGTGAAGACACCACGCTTTTGCTTGGAAAAAATACACACACGCACACATACATACATACATATATATATATATATATATATATATATATATGGGTTAAATGTAAAAAAAAAAAGAGAAAAATCCCACAAAAAAATTATTTTACCTTTTTTTATCAAAACTTTATTACTTATATTAAAATATATTATAATTAATTTAAATATTTTTATCTCATACAATATATTAATGAAAAATTAATAAAATATTTTAAAAAAAGAATACCTTATTTTCATGTAATATATTCATTAAAAATAAAAAAATTGATTAATATTTTAAAAAAAATTATAATAATAATTTTTTATTTAAATAATTATTTAAAAAATTAAAGATAAATTTATACAAATTTAATAAAAATATCTCATAAAATTAATATGAATTTTTTCATAGTTTATTTTGATAAAAAAAATATATTAAATGTAATTAAATAAGAAGGGACATTACGATCATTTAATAAAATATAGTATAGTCAATAGGGTATGTTATAATAAAATGAGATAGTTTACGGAATTTTATGTACAAAATATATTTAAAGTGGTTATTTGTAAATTCAAATATAGTTTTTTATTTTATTTATTTTTTATTTTTTATTTTTTCATATATATATATGTTCTGCTTCTCTCTACCGTACCATGAGGTTCCAGTAACTCTTTCTTTCCCCTTCTCTCTCATTTTCCTTTCCTTGTCTTTAGTATTCTGTCATGGATCATCGTTCTTGTATAGCAAAAAGGACCCGCTCTCAAAATGAGCTATACCATTCTCCTATAGCAAAAAGGACCCGATCTCATCACATCCAACGTTTCTTTGAAATGACGAAGAACACATATTCTTTGCCAAAAACCCGTAGAAAGAGAGCACGACATGTTTCAAGAGTGAATTTGGGTAAGATTTAAGATATTTGATATTTTGACTTTTGTTATGATCACTGATTTCTTAATTTTTGTTATGATCACTTGTTTGATGTTCAAGATGTCACGCAAAGTGTTAGTTTCTTTACAATATTGTTGTTAATAATCCTTCCTTGGTAGGTTGTAATGAGCAACGTGAAGAGACTAAAGCTGACGAAATGGATGAAAATGATTGTGACTCTAAGATGGAGTTTGAGCCAAAGCTAGGATTCAACGAAAGTGAAGCCATGCTGGAGATAGAACCGATAGCAAAAAGGACCCGATCTCATCATATCCAACATTTCTTTGAAATGACGAAGAATACATATTCTTTGCCAAAAACCCGTAGAAAGAGAGCACGACATGTTTCAAGAGTCAATTTGGGTAAGATTTAAGATATTTAATATTTTAACTTTTAATTGTTATGATCACTGATTTCTTAATTTTTGTTATGATCACTTGTTTGATGTTCAAGATGTTACGCAAAGTGTTAGTTTCTTTACAATATCGTTGTTAATAATCCTTCCTTGGTAGGTTGTAATGACCAACGTGAAGAGACTAAAGCTGAAGAAATTGATTGTGACTCTAAGATGGAGTTTGAGCCAAAGCTAGGATTCAATGAAAGTGAAGCCATGCTGGAGATTGATGTTGATCACTGTGATCAGGGGATGGGATTTGAAGGAAGTAACGTAGATCCGAAACCGAAACCGAAACCGGAACTTGATGAAAGCAAAGTTTTGGATGTTGATGATGATGAAAGCGATACTGGCATTGATGATCCGAACTCAGATCAATGGCTTACTTCTAGTGATACCGACAATGATGATCCAAATGACGAGGATTTTGATGCGGCCAGTGTTAGTATGGAGGAGTCGAGCTCTTCTTCCTCAGAGGAGTACGAGGAAGAAAACAATGAGGGTAATGAGAATGCAGAGAAGAAGGCATGTTCGGGAAAAAGAAATCGGACAAGGCTTGGTTTTTCAGGCAAGGCAAATGTGAAGAAAAATGGTAATCAATTGGATGATGTTCATGAAGAAACAGTAAGTAAATTTAAAGGCAATGAAAGTGATAAACAAGAGCCGGGGGAAGAGAATGGAAGTTCGAAAGCAGAGGAATTCGACACGAAATTGAGGAAGGCCGGTGATGTGAAGCAAGCTGGTGCACTCCAAGACTGTGATGGGGGACCGAAGGTTTTTAAAACTTATGAGTGGAGAAAAGGATCGGAGCGGAAGAAGCATTGTTATTCAACTAGTACATATGGGGTGAAGAAGGGTGATAAAGAATCCAATGGAACTTCCAAAGAAAATGGGAAGAGTAATGATAAGTTCAATGGTGATGGCGCGGAAAATGAGCAGCAACTTGGCAAAGAAAAGGGAAATCACAAAGAAGGGGAATCAAGGAAGACAACTGAGACAAAGCAACGAAGGGTAAAAGAAGATAATGATGCAGGTCTTGTTCGGAATAATGATAACTTTCGTGATGATGGAGTAGGAAAAAGAGAAAAAAAGTTTACTAATGAGCAGCAACTTGGCAAAGAAAAGGGAGATCAGGGAGAAGGGGAATCGAGGAAGGCAACTAAGACAAAGCAAGGAAGGGTAAAAGAAGATAATGATGTCAGTCTTGTTCGGAATAATGATGACTTTCGTGATGAAGGAGTAGGAAAGAGAGAGAAAATGTTTACTAATGAGCAGCAACTTGGCAAAGAAAAGGGAGATCAGAAAGAAGGGGAATCGAGGAAGACAACTAAGACAAATCAAGGAAGGGTAAAAGAAGATGATGATGTAGGTCTTGTTCGGAATAATGATAACTTTCGTGATGATAGAGTAGGAAAGAGAGATAAAAAGTTTACTAATGAGCAGCAACTTGGCAAAGAAAAGGGAGATCGGGGAGAAGGGGAATCGAGGAAGACAACTAAGACAAAGCAAGGAAGGGTAAAAGAAGACGATGATGTAGGTCTTGTTCTGAATAATGATAACTTTCGCGATGATGGAGTAGGAAAGAGAGATAAAAAGTTTACTTATGAGCAGCAACTTGGCAAAGAAAAGGGAGATCAGAAAGAAGGGGAATCAAGGAAGACAACTAAGACAAAGCAAGGAAGGGTAGAAGAAGATAGTGATGTCGATCTTGTTTGGAATAACGTTAACTTTCTTGATGACGGAGTAGGAAAGAGAGATAAAAAGTCTCCTAAGAGAAAGCCACTGAAAGGTTCTGATATCTTTAGAATTCTTGCTGACTCTGTTTTGGATAAAGGAAAACCACTTGAAGGTGAGGCTCATGAACAAGAAGATAAGCCTTCAGATGAGTATACACTACCCTTGATCTTCAAGTTTGAAGATCAGGAGCCCGAGCCAGCGGAAAAATCTGAATTTGAAAAAATGGTTGATAACTTATTTGCTGAGATGGACTTCGCTCTAAAATCCGAGGAGATGGGTAGCTTTGAACATGAGGTAAATTCTCAAGTAGCTTTGATTCTCCTGAGGTAGTTTTGATCCTTTCGAGTAATAAAAAAATTGTATGCACTAATTTTTTTTTTTTTTTTTGTCAAATAAGTGGATGGTTAATCTTTTATGTTATGTAAGTTATCTCACAAATAATGTTGAGCACAGGGAAATTTCGACACATAGTTGTAATATTTCTCTTTATGATAATGTCTAGTGTGGTCGCACAAACAACTTTGATATAACACATAAGGTGATGTAATTTTCAAAAAAAAAAAAATTGATGTAGCAAGTTTAGAGGCTGTTGATAGACTCTAAAAATCACCTTTGTCAAGCAGGGCAATTAATTGAAACGTGGTTTATCTGTTGAAGTCTTAACACTTAATCTAGAAGAAAAGTCTTGAAAAGAAAAGGTGGGAGTTGTTATTTTGTATCTAAATCCGGAAAAGCAAGAAAATGAGAGTGAAATAGGGTTCTGTTAGAAAATGAGTACCATTGAAACAAAAGGAGCGAAGTAAAACTGCATTCAACTGTTACAGTTAACTGTATTGTTAGTGTTCCTCTTCTGGCCTCTTTTGCTTAGGAGTTGACTTGCGTGATCAACTCTTATAGGTCGGAAATTTGTGGATTGATAGAAAGGAAACAGAGTTCACTGCATTGTTCTAAATTTGAAAACAAAAAACAACAGATGATTATAAATAATTAGAATTTCTACTTATTTTAGATAAATTTGTGATTGTAAATGTTAAGTAGTATATATTTTTATTGCTTGGTGACCTCGATTGTATGTATAATGCATTTTATTTTGGAGTTTTGATCACTAGGGTCAATGCTTAATTGATGCAATGGGTAAAAGATTGGACTGCCAAACAAAAAAATGCAGATTTACTATGAGAGCAGCCAGTTTGTACCCAATCTCTCTTTCCTTGCAGCATCGATTAATGGAGATCAACACCGATTAGTGGATTTTTTGAAATAGTAGAGAACGGAAATAAGAAAATATAATAAGAAGACTGGAAGGAAATTTTTTGTAGAGAACTCAGACATTGATTAAATGGTGGATAACTTGTTTGCCGAGAACAAACTTGCAATTAAAGCAAATAACTGAAAACTTTTATACAAATAGTGTTAGTTTTATTTTTTTCTTTGGGACTAGTTGCATTTAGTATAAAACAAGCATGAGGGTTTTGCATCCTTTAAACAGAAAGACTAGAGAACTCTGGTTTCTGTGATCTCAATCTTGGCTTTATTAATTTATTGTATTTGTTTTTTCTTTTCTTCGTCTGGCCTAGGACAAAAGCTTAGAATCGTCTTAGAATTCTTGTCGGAAATTCTTTAAACCAGTATCATAATTATCCAAAATGAAGGATAACTGATTTTCTATCTTAATTGATGCATCTAATTTTTTTGACTCTCTGTTGAAAGACACAACAAACTCTTAAGACCCTATTCATTTCAAACAAGTGCAAATTTTAATCATTTTGTGGTGTGTCTTAAATGCTATGTTTATTACTTTTCTCCTCTATTTTTGGGTAACTAAATATCGGAATCATAATGACTTTTAAAGTTGCATTGAAGTATTCCAATGCCTGTGAATTCCTGGGACAGAAAGATACAAGGATCAAATATGGAATTTAGCAAGACCAAATCATACTCTCTTTCCATTTACATAGTCCTGAGAAATGTTTGTCACTAAGAGCTCTTGTGATTTCTACAGGTCAATGACAAGACAAATGTTCCAGAAGCTGAAACAAATCAAACCATCCTTTGCCAGCTAGGGAAACATAATCTTGTCCTTGATGAGCAAATTGGAATAAGATGCCTCCATTGTTCTTATGTAGACCTTGAGAGTAAATATGTACTACCGCCTTTGGTAAGGAATTTCCACCCTCCATTTATTAATGTAATGCTCCACAGTAGTTTTAGAATCAAGAAACTGTATGAAGTCCATTGACTCTAACAAGCTATGTTAATGAACTTGTTAATTTTCTATTTTGACAATTGCAGAGAACATGTACTGCCAAAGCATCAGATAGAGTAGATTATATTGGCAGCAAGGACTTCCATATGTTTGACAAACTTGATTTTCAAGCTTCAAGAGATAATTTCAGGGACCCTTTCAATCATACCAAAGGCACTGTCTGGGACATCATCCCCGGTATCAGAGAGAGCATGTATCTTCACCAGCAAGAAGGTTTTGAGTTCTTATGGAAGAACTTGGCAGGAACCACTAACCTTGCTGAGTTGAAGCATTCCAATTTAAATGAAGCGGGTGGCTGCATTATTTCACATGCCCCTGGAACTGGGAAAACCCGCTTGACGATCATCTTTATCAAGACCTACTTAAAATTATTCCCAAATTTTAAGCCAGTCATTATTGCTCCAGCTAGTATGCTTCTTACTTGGGAAGAAGAATTCAGAAAATGGAAAGTTGAATTTCCATTCCACAACCTCAACAATCCAGAGTTCTCGGGTAAGGAAAATAAAACAGCTCTTAGATTTCTACGGGAGAGCAAGTGCCAAAATAAAGATGCAGTTCGTATGGTGAAGATGTATTCATGGAGCAAGGACAAAAGCATCTTAGGGATAAGCTACAGTTTGTTTGAAAAGTTTGCTGGACAAAAAATCATAAAAGGTAAAGGAAAGAAGCCGAAGAAGGTTGTTCTTGATAAGAAGTGGAGGAAGATGCTGCTTGAGTTGCCTGACATTGTAGTTCTTGATGAAGGTCACACCCCTCGCAATCACAGGAGTTGCATTTGGAACACGCTTTTGAAACTCCGAACGGAAAGGCGGATCATACTTTCAGGAACTCCATTTCAGAACAATTTTGGTGAGCTCTTCAATACATTACGTCTTGTAAGATCAGCAGTTGCAGGCCTTCTTGCCCAAGAAAAGACTTTCGCAGACACGATTTCATCGAGAGGTGGGAAATACGGCAGAAAACAGTGGAGGGGAGAAAGGGCTATTTCAAGTAGAAAAATTGTTGATGATGCCATAGAGAGGCTTAAAGCCACCATAGCACCATTTGTCCATGTTCACAAAGGAAGCATTCTTCAAGAAAGTCTTCCTGGTTTGAGAGACTGTGTGATCCTTCTAAATCCACCCTTATTGCAGAAGCATGTTATTGAGAGAATAGAAGGTCGCCAATTCATGATGGATTACGAATATAAGGTGGCGTTGGCCTCTGTCCACCCATCTCTATTACTTCATTGTTCTTTGTCTCAGAAAGAGAATTCCATCATTGATCATAATAAATTAGAACGGCTCAAGCTTGATCCTGACAAAGGTGTTAAAACAAGATTCGTCATGGAACTCATCCGCCTTAGTGTCGCAATGAATGAGAAAGTCCTGATCTTCAGTCAGTTTATCCACCCATTAGAATTAATAAAGGACCAGCTTAGAGAAGTTTTTGATTGGAATGAAGGAAGAGAAGTGTTGCAAATGCAAGGGAAACTCGATCAGAAGCACCGGCAAAATATGATAAGTATTTTCAATTGTCCAAAGGGTGATGCAAAGGTATTGTTAGCATCAATAAGGTGCTGTTCTGAGGGGATAAATCTGGTTGGTGCTTCAAGGGTTGTTCTGCTTGATGTTGTTTGGAATCCATCGGTACAAAGGCAAGCTATAAGTCGGGCTTACAGGCTTGGACAAAAGAAACTTGTCTATACTTACCATCTCATGACAGCCGGGACAACAGAGGGAGACAAGTATTGTAGACAGGCCGAGAAGGACCGTCTATCTGAGCTGGTTTTCTCTTCCACAGAGAAGGAGAAGGAGAAGGAGAAGGAAAGGAATTGTACTGCAGTTTTCAATGACAAAATTCTGGATGAGATGATAGGACATGAAAAGCTGAAGGATATGTTTGAGAAGATAGTTTATCAGCCAAAGGAGACTAATTTAATTGTAAGTTTTGGTTAGGGTTCACTGCAATACACAGTTTAAGCAAATTTGGCAATGTCAAGATTTTGGATATTCTTCTTTAAGGTGTGTGCAAGACTACGGTATTTCGTTTATGTTCTATTACAAAACTCAAGTTGTCATTTTTTTTTTCCTCACTAGATCATGAGTGTTCTGGTAATGATAATAACTCTGGAATATTGCTGCCAGATCTATAATGTCACAAGTGGTATTCTCTGTTAAAAAACTTGTGATTGTTCTGGATTGGAATAGCTAATCATGTTTCATTTAATTAATGCAGGTACTCGACAGCACCTCTCTTGTTTCATTTTGTTATGTGTTGTTGTCCTCAAACGAGTCGAAGTACTTTTTATCCAGGTGCATAAAACTACAGTTGTTCCATTTTGTTATGTTGCCCTCCAACGACAGTTTGTACATGAGTGCTCGTGTTCCATTTTGTTCCGTACTCTTGCCATCAAAAGAATTTAAGAACTTTGTAAATATGAAGGTACTCACAGCACAACTCTTGTTCCTTTTTGTTCTGTACTGTTGCTATCAAAAGAATTTAAGTACTTATCCCAGAGGCATATAAACTGATTGACTGTTTGTTCAATGTTTTGAAATTGTGAGTGCTCTTACCTCTTGTTCCAGTTTTTCTAGCACTATTGCCATCAAAAGAATTGAAGGACTTTTTATCCCAGGTACATTTAAAGTTTTAAGCCGATTGGCCGTTTGTTCAATGTTTCGGAATTGTAAGTGCTTTTGTTCCATTTTGTTCTGCATTGTTGCTCTCAAAAGAATTTAAAGTATTTTATTTTTTATTTTTTATCCAGGTGCAGATAAATTGATCGACAGTTTGTTTAATGACTTGGAATTATAAGTTTATATCATACTATCTTTCAGTATTTTATATATAAACATGCTACTCAGGCTGAGTCGCCATAAGCCAACTCTCTCTCGAAGGTTAGTGAGATCCACCACCTCCCTTGTGAGAATCATCTTATGCCTTCTCGAAATGAGAAGCATTTTTCTTATTTATTGTTGATCCATTATATGAACTCATGAACTTAGTTATATTAAGACAGAATTGCAGCTCATAGTTCAATTGTTAGATTCTAAAAGTTTAAACAAGAGAATATTTGGTTTACATGTTGATGTTATCCGCCTGTTTGTTTTGATAGTTTCTTAGAAAGATAATGCAAAGTAAAAGGATTATAGGCAGCACAACAAGGCATACTTAAATGGACAGATCTCTGTTTGCAAAGCCAGGCACGCCCATCGGTGTCTAGTCCGAGTCTCCTAGTATTCCTTCTTCTTCTTCATGCAATTCAGGGAAGTAGTTTTGCTCTTTGATAGAAGATACGGTCGATCTTAGAAACCTAGGATTTGTATCCTAAGTGGCTAACTGATGTTGAAACATTCATTTTTAGGCATGCTTCAGAGAATTACATCACCTAATGTGTTATCAAAGTTGTTTGTGTGAGCATTCTAGACATTATTATAAAGACAAATATTGCAACTACGTGTCGAAGTTTCCCTGTGCTCAACATTATTTTGTGAGATAACTTGCAATGACATAAAGATTAACCATCCATTGTAATGCACACAATTTTTTAATTACTCAAAAGGATCAAAACTACCTTTGGAGAATCAAAGCAACTTGAGAATTTACCTCACAAGGATCAAAACTTCCTCTGTAGAATCAAAGCAACTTGAGAATTTACCTCATAAGGATCAAAGCTGCCCATCTCCTCAGATTTAAGAGCGAAGTCCATCTCAGCAAACGAGTTATCCACCATTTTTTCAAAATCGGATTTCTCTACTGGCTCAGGCTCCTCATCTTCAAACTTGAAGATCAAGGGAAGTGTATAGTCATCTGAAGACAAGGGCTTATCTTCTTGTTCATGAGACTCACTTTCAAGTGCTTCTCCTTTATCCAAAATAGAGTCGGCAAGAAATTCTAAAGATATGATCACCTTTCAGGTTACGCCTCCTCTTAATAGGCTTCTCATTTCTCTTCTCTGTGCCATTTGTTGGTGTCACTAACCTCAAAGTTTTCATCTCGAATAATATAGAATTTAGTATCCTTCTCCTCTTATAGCCATGTTTCAGAATCATATCTCTCCTGGCCCTTCATATTATAGCATTCACTCTTCTCTATTGAAGGTTTGTGCACTTTAATTTCTGCATCATTATCTTCCTTTACACTTGCTTTCTTTGTCTTAGTTGACTTCCTTTAGTCCCCTTCTTTCCAACCTCCCTCTTCTTTTCCAAGTTGTTCATTTTCGGCACCACCACCACTGTGTTGGGTTTATTTCCTTCTATATGGAGGAAAGCCCAAGTGGGTTTTATTAAAAGCCCAAAGCCCAGCCTTTAGGGAAAAGAAAACCCTAAGGAAGTTAGTATAAAAAGAGAGAGAGAGAGGTTAGCCGCAAGGGAAAGAACAAAGAGAAGAAAAACGCAGGTTTGTCCATTCTGCCCAGGTTTGATCAAACATCCGATCCCGCTTCGTCCGTGGTCCGATCAAGCTGAAATTTGGAGGAGAGGTTCACGATTCAGTGACGCACAATCTGAATGGTGGAGATCAGATTTTGAGCTCGGGAACAGTGATTCGTGCCCGTGAACAGTAACTGGGTTTTGGTAGAAAAACGCAAGTTTTTCTATTCTGTCCAGATTTCATCAAACGTCCGATCCCGCTTCGTTCGTGGTCCGATCGAGCTGAAATTTGGAGGAGAGGATCACGACTCAATGAGTTAAAATCTGAACGGTGAAGATCGGATTTTGAGCTCGAGAACAGTTATTCGTGCCCGTGAACAGTAACCGAGTTTTGGTATTTTTCTCTTCAATTCTCTTTGTTTTTTTGCCAAGATTATTACTATCTTGATGAGATGTTTTGTAGCCTCTAATTGCGATTAGAGAAGACTTTGTGTACCCATTATTTGGTTGATAGTGGAGATTTTAATTGGACTAGGTCCCGTGGTTTTTCTTCCTTACACTGGGGAAGTTTTCCACGTAAAAAATTGCTTGTGTTCTTGTGGCTTGGTGTGATTGATTTGTTCTCTATTATTTTCAGCACATATAAAAGTAGAGATATATTATATTTGCTTGCATATAGGGAGAAAAATTATTCCGCTGTGTTTGTTTTTTGTCATCTCTCCCAACAAAGTGGTATCAGAGCCAGGTTCACAGATTGCCAGATTGGCAGTTTGAGTTATGGAAGCAAATACGAGTAGAATGATTAATTTAAATGGTTCAAATTATCACATATGGAAAGGAAAAATGGAGGATCTTCTTTATGTGAAAGATTATTACCTACCGGTGTTTAGTGCTGAAAAACTAGAAAACAAATCTGATGTGGAATGGACTTTGTTACATCGACAGGTGTGTGGGTATATCAGGCAGTGGGTGGATGATAATGTTTTGAACCATATTAGTGGAGAGACACATGCACGTTCTCTATGGAGTAAGCTTGAACAGCTATATGCTAGACAGACTGGAAATAATAAATTGTTTCTGATTAAGCAGATGATAGCTTTTAGATACCAGGATGGGACTCCTTTATCTGATCACCTGGATTCATTCCAAGGAATTATTAATCAGCTGGCTGGAATGGGTATTAAGTTTGATGATGAGATACAAGGGTTATGGTTGTTTGGTTCATTACCGGACTCGTGGGAGACGCTCAGAACTTCATTGTCTAACTCCGCTCCAGAAGGTGTAATCACAATGGATATGGCCAAAAGTTGTTTGCTAAATGAAGAGATGAGAAGAAAAACATAGGGATCCTCTTCACAGTCAGAGATCTTGGTTACAGAAAAGAGGGGGAGAAGTAAGAGCAGAGGTCCGAAGAACAGAGATAACAACAGAAGCAAGTTCAACAACTTTGCAAATGTTGAGTGTTATCATTGCGGGAAAAAAGGGACACATCAAGAAATATTACAGGCAATTGAAGAAAGAAAACAAGAATGAGAAAGGGAAGGGAACGAAGAATGGAGATGACAAAGATGATGATGACAGAGTTGCTACCACCACTCCTGCAGACTTCCTCATTGTTTATGATGATGAGATGATAAGTGTACCATGAGACTAGTTGGGTGATTGACAGTGGTGCCTCCATTCATGCTACATCTCGGAAGGATTTCTTTACATCTTATAAATCTGGTGATTTTGGAATAGTAAAGATGGGCAACGATGGCTTGGTTAAAGTCATTGGAATTGGGGATGTGTATCTGAAGATGAATAATGGCACGAGGTTAGTTCTCAGAGATGTGAAGCATATTCTTGACATTCGCTTGAATTTAATTTCTGCAGGTAAACTTGATGATGAAGGGTATTGCAGCACTTTCAGTGATGGCCAGTGGAAGCTCACTAGGGGTGCTATGGTTGTGGCTCAAGGTATGAAGCACTCTGCACTGTACGTTCTGCAAACAAAGATCTCTAACGACATTGTTAATGCGATGGAGGATAATGATACAACAGAATTGTGGCACAAGAGACTGGCTCACATGAGTGAGAAAGAATTAGCTCTACTAGGGAAGAAAAGTCTACTATGTGGACTGAAAAGTACACTTCTGAAAAGGTGTACTCATTGTTTGTCAGGGAAGCATAGCAGAGTCTCCTTCAAGAATTCCTCTTATTCGAGAAAGTCAGAGATACTGGATTTGGTATATTTAGATGCGTGTGGCCCTATAAAGACGAGAACACTTGGTGGCTCTAGATACTTTGTGACCTTCATAGATGATCATTCAAGGAAGTTGTGGGTATATACCTTGAATTCAAAAGACCAAGTGTTAGCAGTGTTAAAGCAATTTCAAGCCCTAGTTGAGAGATAGACTGGGAAGAAACTGAGATGCATTCGTACTGATAACGGCGGAGAGTATTCTGGTCATTTTGATGAGTATTGTAGACAGCAGGGTATCCAGCATCAAAAGACAACTCCTAAAACTCCTCAGTTGAATGGCGTAGCAGAAAGGATAAACATGACACTGGTTGAGAGAGTGAGATATTTGCTTTCATAAGCCCAGTTGCCAAAATCTTTTTGGGGGGAGGCATTGAGCACAGTTGTTCATGTGTTGAATCTTACACCCTGTGTTCCTCTACAGTTTGATGTGCCAGACCGAGTTTGGACAGGTAAGGATGTTTCCTATAATCATCTTCGTGTTTTTGGGTGCAAAGTATTTGTGCATATTCCAAAAGATGAAAGGTCCAAATTTGATGTGAAAACGCGACAGTGTATATTCTTTGGCTATGGCCAAGATGAGTTTGGGTGCAAGCTTTATGATCCAGTTGAGAAGAAAATTGTAAGAAGCAGAGATGTCGTGTTTGTAGAAGGTCAGACGATTCAAGATATTGAGAAAGTAGGGAAATCTATGTCTCAACAAGGTGATATCTTGACTGATATGGATCCAGCTCCTCTGAAGAATCTGCCATCTCAGGTTGAGAATGATGGTCAGGATGACCACCAGTGTACAGGTGATGTGGATGTTCCCTTACAGGTTCAG